CCTTAGCCACCTGAGCCACAGGCGCTGAGCCACAGAACAGTAGAATTGATAAACTGCTTCTTTCCTGAATACTTTTGGTATCTCCCTCCTCCTACCCATGACTTCCTTCCCATGCCCCCACTAAGAGAACAGACCGATTAGTTTTTTTTCCTCCTGTGTGCTGTCCAGTGGACAAAGAGACTCACCATCATACCGGGCCACCTCAAGGAACTTGGGCGTATATTGAGAGTGGACAATATTTTTTAAAAGCATTGGTTGAAGGTGACAAGAGTTCTCAAGACAAGTTAGAAAAGAGAGGTGACTTCTACATATATAATAGTTATCTGCAGTGTAGATGCTGCTAACGGAAGCAGCATATGAGCTAAAAATTAGACGCCCTCGCTCCATACCTGTCACTCAGAGACTTTGACCATGTCACTTCACCTTTCTGAGCATCCAGTTCCTCCTCCATTAATTGGGATAGCACCTGTACTACCTCTCAGGATCATTGTGATCATCAAAATAAACCCAGGCACAGTGGCTCAGGCCTGTAAGCCCAAGTTCTTGGGAGGCTGAGACGGAAGGATCCCTTGAGCCCAAGAGTTTGAAGCTACCTAATGGTGCCTCTGCACCCCAACCTCAGTGACAGAGCAATCCCCTGTCTCTAAAATAAGTAAATAAAGAAATATTTTTTAAAAGCCTCAAGTAATAGGAAGATATACATATTTGTTGCTGTTGACATATACATGACCACACCTGTTTTGTTTCTCTATCAGTTACTTTTATATTTATCTAATGTAATCCTCACAGTAGCCCAATTTGGTGGTGTTATTTTTCCATTTGAATGGATGAGGAATCAGAGACTCAGGCCCAGAGTCATACAGCTAGGATGTGTTAGAGTCCAGGTCCATTTCTGTTCTCCACTGTAACACTAGCTCATGATTCTTTTCTCCCATAATTTGTTTGTTACTTTTACCCTTAAAATATTACACACATCTCTGGCCTTTACCATCTGTACAGACTGGACCCACCCTCTTCACTGAACCTTTCTTGCTTTTAACAGTTTTTGAATTTCTGTTTGTTTGTTTTTTGGTTTTTTGGTTTCCTTCCTGATTTGGCTTACGATACTCCGCTTGGCCATGCTGTCAGCTCCCCCACCCTGACCTCTAAACACACTACGGACAAGCACCAACTGAGCTCCTTCCTAGAGGCAGGTACTCTGCTCCTGAGAAGCGAGAAAACAAATGGTCGTTCCCTTTGCAGGTTTCCGGGCTCTGAAACATCTCTGTCTGTAAGAAGGCAGAATATACACAGAGGAGAAGGGCCACGTTTTCTTGTCATCCCCTCTTCAGAAATCATTAAGCATGTGTGTCCCAGGCAGGCCCTTCAGAAAAACAGCGATGCTGTAGCTCTTGATCTTGTCAAGTAAGACTGGGAAGCACTAGTGGGAAACAGAGATGCCTGGTGGGACCTCGCTCAGTCTCTTCACTCCTATGAGACAGGGCAAAGAGTTATTAGTTCCACTTTAGAGATGGAAAAAGGAGATAGAGGGATTGCCTGGCATCACTCACTGAGTGGGCAGTAGAATCAAAGCTGAGTTTGTCAGAAGCCCCAGTGTGTCCTTGGGGACCTGGGCACTGGGAGTTGTTGCCAGCGGTGGTTGAGTGTTGGATCCAGGCTTGGCACTGCTGATACATGACCCTACCACAGTTCAGGCCCTGGGAGGATCAGCTGACACTCAGCACCCTGCCCCAGATCCCAGCACCTAGCTCCCCAGACCCACATCCTGAGCCTATGTGATGGAGAGAAAAGGTGGTGTAGGGTGAATCCCCACTCCTGAGTCCTCTCTGACAAGCAACCCACTCCCAAGGTAGGGGCTTCTTTTTTGGAGAGATGCATTTATAGATGTGCCTGTAGGGAATCTACCCTACAGTTTGGTAAGAGATAAATCAAAGCCAAACTTGGTTGATGAAATTCGGGAGCCAGTAGTGACCCTTGCCACACATATAAATCCCAGCAGGCTGGACAAGAGCCTTTGTCTGGCCTGGAGAGTTCGGGATTATCTGGCCCTCTTTGCTGATGTATGGAGTCACCGGCTGTCAGAGTGTTTACTAACGGTTATCACCTCAATGCTTTGGCCATTATCAGAGGCAGGGCCACCTGCTGGGGCTGGGGCTCGCACCCTCTCTATTACCACCTGTCATTGGCAGGGAGTGTGTGCTGATACTGCCCAGGCCCGACTGCCTAGGGAAGATAGTTTCTGACGGCTGATCAAAGAAAAGAAGCAAGGCCTGATAAAGAGTGTGTGTTTCGTGTACTTTTAACTCTGGGAAGCATTGGCATTTGCATTTTTTCCCCATCTTCCTGGTGCTGGCAGGAACCAAGCCCAATAAATGCACTGGATTCAGTTACCTAATCGCTGGGGAAATGGTATGTGCTTAAAGCAACAGAGCATGACTATAATCTCCTTCCAAGAGAGAGTAGATGAAATAAGCTTTCACAGAAGACTTGCTGTATAATAAAGTAGAATAATTTAAATTTGGACTTTGAAGTGATCTTGCATGTAAAATCTAATCTTGGCATCCAGCAGAACACCATGTACTTTTTGGAATTGGGGAGCAGCTTTGGCCTAAGGAAAGATCCTTGCTGAAGATGCTATCACCCAACGCTATTGCTGGTGTCCCCATAACAATGCCCTGGTCGTGCACATGTCCTTAGATAGCTGGGAGAGAAATGTGGTAGAGCAGAGCAGGTTCTAGACTGAGGCATCAGGAGATCGGAGTTCTTGGACCAAGTCTGCCACAAACTCGTTGTTTGATCTTGATTCATAACTCCTGGGAGCTTCAACTGTAAAGTGAAGACGTTGGATGTAGGTTACAGAATCTAATGGTTTAGAAAGCTTTAAAAAAAACATTAGGTGGGCAGTGCCCATAGCTCAGTGGGTAGGGTGCTGGCCACATACACCAAGGCTGGTGGGTTCAAACCCAGCCCGGGCCAGCTAAAACAATAACAACAACAACAACAACAAAAATAGCTGGGCGTTATGGTGGGCACCTGTAGTCCCAGCTACTTGGGAGGCTAAGGCAAGAGGATAGCTTAAGCCCAAGAGTTTGAGGTTGCTGTGAGCTGTGACACCACAACACTCTACCCAGGGTGACATAGACTCTGAAAGAAAATTAGGCTATGTAACCCCTTCCGTAAATGAAATTTTGGGTAGAGTGTCATTGTATCAAATAGAGAAATATACAGGTATTTTGGTTGAATCTGGAAAAGGAGGTTCCCTTGTCCCAGTTCTTGAGGCAGTCCCAGAAGACCAGAAGAACCCTGCAGCACCTCAGAAACAATATTAAAGCTGGGGGCAGTGGCTCATGCCTATAAGCCCAGCACTCTGGGAAGCTGAGGTGAGCTCATGAGTTCAAGACCAGCCTGAGCAAGAGCGAGACCCTGTTTCTAAAAAATAGCCAGGCATTGTGGCAAGCGCCAACAGTCCCAGTTACTTGGGAGGCTGAGGCAAGAGGATAGCTTAAGCCCAAGAGTTTGAGGTTACTGTGAGCAACAATGCCGTGGTTCTCTACCAGGGGCAAGAAAGTAAGACTCTGTCTCAAAAAAAAAGAAAAAAGAAAAAGAAACAATTTTAAAACCACTAAGCTGGGCTCAAAGGAGTATGGCACCAGCCCCATATACTGGAGATGGTAGGTTCAAACCCACCCCCCAGCCAAAAACTGTGAAAAAAAAAAGAAGAAGAAGAAAAGAAAAGAAAAAACCACTAGCCTCAGTGTCACATGAGTCGTTCTCTGGAGGTCTATACTGGGATCCACTGGCATGAGCCACTTTAGTCTAAGCTGTACACCCCTCATGGTGTGATCCATCCTGTGTGAGGGCTAAAATGGACCCTGGGTACAGAGGAGTGTTGGCGGCAGGTAGACAAAGAGAGCAGCCTGCTCCCTGAGGCACAGGCTCAATGTCGGATGTTCCATGTGTGCACAGGTACCTATGACCGGAGTGTGACCCTGCTGGAGGTGTGTGGGAGCTGGCCTGAGGGCTTCGGGCTGCGGCACATGTCGTCCGTGGAGCACACCGAGGAGGGCCTCCGGGAGCGGCTCGCTGACGCCATGGCGGAGTCGCCAAGCCGGGATGTTGTGGGGTCTGGAACAGGTAACGATGACATCAGACTTGCAGCCTGACTTGGTTACGACTGGCACCTGTTGGCACAGAGCTTTTGTGGCGGGGAGAGAGTATGTGTTTGTTCTTACCATTCATTTCTTTAGTTAGCACTCTGATTGCTGTCCATTTTAGAAGCCTCTGGGGTTGGGAAACCCTGTATGCAGGGAGTTCCCAGTGGAACTGCCCTCCCCACGTGGAACAGCACACGCAGAGATGCCATGATAAGCACAGCTGTGTAAGTGGCTCCCGGAAGGACACCTCACTCCCTGGGGGAAGGGAGCCCGGAGCCCCAGATCCCCAGCAGGGCTTCGGCACCGAGTCCTGAGGCAGCACACCTTCTTCTGTCATGCTTGAGGCCTTATACACGGGCAAGGGACAGTGGGGCCTGCCAGCCAACCAGGGCGGAAGCCAGAACGAAGCAGGCCAGGCTGGTTTCAGCCCCGGAAGCCTTTCCTCATGCTGTCTTCTGCCCTGTACTCTTGCCTCTGACTGAGTCCAGCAACTAGGGTCTAGATGGCTGTCTGCACCTTTGAAATCAGAAGACACTGAGATAATGAGTGAGCCCCGCCCCAGGCACACACATGTATGTGAGCGCGCGCACACACACATACACACACACACACACAGTGTGCATCCAGCAAAGACCACAGCCTTCATGTCCATGCAACTCAGTGCAGCCTGCCTCTCCTTTCTCCCAAAGCACTTCTTCATTCCAGGCGTCAGTGCGGTTACTGCAGCTCCAGCTCTGCTTTTGGGCCCAGCAGAGACGGCCAGCAGGCCTCTTCCCAGCCTTGAGAGGTCCATAGGAACTCCTTACTGGTGGATCAGACCTTGCAGGAGGCCTTCCCTCTCTTGCTTGCCCAAGACTGTTGTCCTTTGCTGTGGACTGCTGCATCCCTGCTCCACTTGGCCCACTTGCAAAGAGGATCCCAGTGAGGAGAAACTTAAAACCCTGGGTCAGATTCTTATCAGGACCAGCAAGGTTTAGAATCGGAGCATTTAGGGCAGAGCTTAAATGCCTGTGGTGGTCATGGTCTGGCTTCCTGTGGCTCCTCCAGGTCTCAGATATTTGGCATGGGCAGTTAGGCCTTTCCCTCTCTTCTACCACAGCTCCATGACAGTCCCTCTGTCCCTATAGTAAGAGGTATGCCATCTCTACCGCCCTAACTGTGTGGCCTGCCCACAGTCCTTGTGTAGTAACGGGGCATGAACAGGGTGGAATGGGTGGAGTTAAGGTAGGCAGAGAAGGAGTTTGGCTGGAGGTAGAGAAGCACGTTATCAGGCCAGAGGCGACAGCCACCTCTGAGGACCAGCCCCATGTGCTCCCTCTTCTTCCCCAGAAAGAGAGGAGGTGGGACCTTGGAAGTGGCTACAGGCCACATTCCCCACCAGCACATACACCCACACACGCACAGACACATCACACCACCACTGCACCCTCATCGTACCCTGCCCCCCCAACTCATGGATACCGGTCCCCAAGCTATGTTCTCCACCTGGACCTGGAGAAGAGGAGCAACCCTGCCATTTACCAGGCTTGGAAGCTGGCCTACAGGAGGGAAGCTTCCCCCTTCTGGACCTTGCCCATGGCACAACCTTACCCTGGTATCTCCAGGGCCCTGGGCAGCCTCAGCTCACTCCAGCCAGACCCTGATGTCACTAGACTCACTTCCTAGGGGCCTCCCTCTCTCGAGGGCTAGAGGGGCAAGTTCAGGATCAGTTCTCCTCTCCAGCTGCCTTCTCTGGAGCCCCTTGGAGCACTTCCGCCTCGGCCAGCCAGCAGAGTTGAAGGTGTATTCCATCAGCGTTGTGGAACTTCAGCCTGGCATAGACAGTAACCTGAGCAAAACTGGCATCGGTTCATCTGCCAGACAGCCGAGGGATTCAGGAGAGTCTTTGTGGCCTTAAGCAGGTTCATGAAATTAAAAAGAATTAAAAAAAGAAAGAAAGAGGAAATTAAAACTGCATGACCCACAGGTCAGAAAATAGGAGGATTTTATTTTTTTATAGTGGAAGGATTTTATTTTCCCCAAACTGTTACCAAAGGGATTCATTTGGTCTTCTTAGACCATTTTACATTTATGTTTAATTTTTTAAAAATCAACTTCCATTTTGAAGGGCAGTAAGTAAAGTAGATATTATGGTGTTAACCCATTTCCTTTTCTGTTGTTGGGAATCAGTTTTCACATTTTCCAACTAGAGGTAGAGTGTCAGCCTTGTAGTGTAGCCCAGGGCTTTGGAAGGACAGCCTAGCACACCCATGTCAAGGTCAGCCTACTGCCCAGAGATAGCCAGGGAAATACAGTGCAATGTGGGAGAGAATTTCCGGCAAGTCACCCTTGCCCATGGCAATCTCTCAGTCCATCTCTTTCTTCCCACAACCCTCCTTCTCTATGTAGCTCATAGGACACACAGGGTGACATCAAGTGTCTGCCTCTGGTAGGTACTCTGGTGCACCAGAGGTGAGACAGTTCCTCTAACACCTCCCAGCAGGTACTTCGTGTGACACCACAGTCAGGATTGATGGCAGCTTTATCAAAGCATGAACAAAGCACAGAGACAACTCAAAACTTGCTCTCCTCACCCCCAACACCCCCCAAACTTGCTCTCCTCATCCCAGTGCATAGCACACCTCACTCATAGATAGATAGGTTCAGCTAGTGGTGCTGGGAATCGTTGAATAACTAGCTCTCCAAAGGGAAGCCTGATTTGTGGGTTTCTGTAATGTATGTAAAAACTTCTGTTATGGCTGTTTTCAACCTGTCATTGTGGTGCCAGTAAATTAGCAGAAGTCCTGAAGCTATAAGTCTGCTAGCCTTAGCACCTGACTGGTAAGCTGTACCATGGGATAAATCAAGCCCCCCCCCCCACAATAAAGCAAAACCTTTTTTTTTTTTTTGAGACAGAGCCTCAAACTGTCCCCCTGGGTAGAGTGCCGTGGCATCACAGCTCACAGCAATCTCCAACTCCTGGGCTCAAGCGAGTCTCTTGCCTCAGCCTCCCAAGTAGCTGGGACCACAGGCGCCCACCACAACACCTGGCTATTTTTTAATTGCAGCCGTCATTGTTGTTTGGTGGGCCCAGGCTAGATTCGAACCCACCACCTTGGGTGTACATGGCTGGTGCCTTAGCCACTTGAGCCACAGGCGCCGAGCCAGCAAAACCTTACTATTTGGAGTGGTCTGGGTATGGGAGGGTAGGCACTGGTCAAACAATACAGAGTTTCAGTTAGACAGGAGGAATCAGTTCAAGATCTGTGTTGGACAGCATGGTAACTGTGGTTAATAACGATGTGTTCTAAATGTTCTCAGCACAAACAAGGGTAAGTATGTGAGGTAATACATGTTAATTAGCTCAATTAGAAATCTCATGATGTATATTTCAAAACATCATGTCGTACATGATAAATACATACAATTTCCATTTATCAATTAAAAAAATAAATGATTTTTTAGAAATGGTCTTCAGACCAGCAGCAGCTTCGTTACCTAGGAGCTAATTAGAAATGCAGAGTCTCAGGCCCCACTCAGCCTGCTCAGGCAGGGTCTGCATTTTCACAAGGTCCCATGCAAGGGAAAGTTTGAGATTTGCTTTAAGTCAGGGGTGCTGCCCCGTAAGGCAGGTGTTGGTTCTGTCCTCCATGATGGCCACTCATCCCTTGGTCTAATTAGATCACTTACGTGATTTGCAAGTCCAGCTCTAAGATAACCGGCTGAATTGCTTTCCTGCCAATATCCTTATGCCCCTGGCCTCTGTGACCCCTCCATTGTCCCATCTGGTAAAACTCCAATTCACGGTCAGCCCAACCCTCCTCTCACAGGGTTACTAAAGAAAAATCACAAGTTGTTCAGACGGTGCCTCTATGAATTTACAGCATTTGCTCTCTCCTGAACCTGGCTCTGTATTTTCCCAGCGTCCCCTTCTCCATCCTCACACTCATCTTTGGCAGCAGAAACAGCACGCAGAGCGGCGTCTGCCACAGAGTAGATGCACAGAGACCGAGCAAATCCCCCTGCACTCAGCCCAGGGCTGTCTGAGTTTCTGCTGCGGCCTCTGCTCACTGCCGCTGCTTCTGGCCAGTTTCTCTTCTCCTGAAGATTCCCCACATCTCTGGTCCTCCAAGAGTTTGTATTTATTTCTGATATTTTTTTCCCTATTGTTGCTATTTATTTCATGTGGTACCTGGGCTAAGTTTATCGTCTTGAAATTGGTCCCTTTCCTTCCTCATGGGAACTATTCCAGCCTGCCATGGCCACCTCAGATCTCTTACCCCACGTCTTGTCTGTCATTCTCAGAAAGAAAATTCAGGTCATCATTCGAGAAATCTCTGGACTTCCTGCTACCCAGATGCTAAACACCCCTGCATCAACTTTCCCCTCTCCTCCCAGTGGAGAGGGGAACAGTCCCAGTCCCTGCCCCTGTGTGCCCAGTCCCCACTGTTCTCCCTAAATGGGACAGGACATGTGGGCCACCTCAGCCCGGGCTCTGTCCTCCACGCCCTGCGTGCCTGACACGCTCTCAGATTTGC